TTTAAACATTTTTTTTTTTCGCTCGCCGAGTAATTATATAATGCAATTATACGTGCCCAGAAGATGGATGCGTTTCGATTAACATCGTAATCGCCGATCGGAAATTTCATTATCAACGATTTCGTACTGAAGCGTTTCATCGTCGGAATTTTAATCGATGTGTTTGTTTGATAACGCTCGCAATCAAGTAATTGTCCGATGATTCAATCAGTCGTTTTATCTAAAATTTTTTCCGCCGCTTTCCAGACGCGTCCTCCTCGAATAACAGCTAAGGTGGATCCAATAAAGCGATACAAATCGCAAAAAAATAGATTAGGATTCTACAATTTAATATCGTAGAAGTAATTAACTCAGCGGAGTGGAATACCTCGATTATAAATTACATATAAAAAGCTCGCGCCGGTCTAATTTTAATTTTCTTCGCGCAATCGCTTAATTAAATCGAGACAATAGACGCTGGATATTTTTATACACTTTTCTCACCCGCTACAAAAGCGGTGGAAAAATATCGCCCGACAGCCGTTCGCGTCGCGTCCATCGTAATAGCGGCGCTTCGGATGCGTCGCGACGCAGCGTTTGACAAATGCGACGTTTCGAGCATCGCCCGAGAGTCTGACGCAAATGCTTTACATAACGTGTCGCAAGCGGGCACCTGGCGGTCCGTCGGGCGGCGGGAATCGCCGCGCACCGGTGTAAATTTAGTACGGACGCGTACGCAAATAGCCGGACCGAGGTTCGACCGACCGCGGCCGGTCCCGAAAAAATCCTCATCATCAGCTGTGCGCGCGAGACGGGGCTCCGGACAACAACGGCTAATGAATTACGCGATTCGCGGGATACGCAACGTAATTGCGTCGAGATTTATGCTTTATTTTGACGTAGTAGATGTCTGTAAAAATGTTTACTTTAATCTGCGTTTCCAGATAAATTTAACGATATCGCGCGACGGACGCTAATTCCCACCGGCGGTTGATTTAATGCCAGAATATCAAGCTTTGATCCTCGCGCGTTACTCTTACTCGTACAACCTACACCACTTAACACAATTATATAGATACTAATTAAAAATTATCCTTACACATACGATTTTTTTTAATATCACAAAAACTCTATCTAATTATCCCTCTCCGTACGTCCTCCTCATTAACGCCATCATTACTGATGCTCTAATAATAATTTTTCGTTGCGAGTCGAGTGGAAACGTCGCGTCCTTAAGGTATCGCCGGTGGATAATGACGAAAATAATTGGCGAATTACAGAACTGGTCGTTCTCTTTCCACGTTATCCGGCCGTCATTTTTCCTCGAATTCCGCATGGATATGGAATGCTAAAAATTGCGCGCAAGAGCGCGTCGCCGAGTAGAGCCCGACTCGGCGTCGCGCCGATTGATTGGAAAGTTCGTTCGTTGGGGCTTTTTGAATTGTTGTAACTTGACTTTATGTGCCCGTTTCGGTTGCTCTGACGGTGCTAAAGTGGCTGTTTTCGAGTGGATTTTACGAGACTTTTAATATACACAGATCGAAGGTAACAATTTACGGTTAAAGGTAGATTGTGTTTAGTTTTGTATTAGGTACGAATTATTTTGTTAAACTATTCGTTAGTTTGTGTGTTTTTTTGTATATCTAAACGGAGAATTCCACGAATATTACTCCACCAACGATTAAACATATTTAATGGCCACATTTATAATACAAAGAGTATATGGAACTCGAAAATATTTCAAGCTCAATTAATAGTCTGGCTAACGTGCCAATTATCTCGACCCAAAAACAAAATCATCCGAAAAAACAGCAAACAAACCCGTTAGGCCGTTCGCAAATATGCTAATTATTCATGTAGGTACTCTATTTGCGTTCATTACACGAACCGATAGGTGTACCATAAAATATTTTATTTGTTGTATTAATTATATCCGTTTAGTTTAGAGTGAATTGTAGCATCATGATAATTATAATAAGCATCGTTGTTAACAAGTTCCTTATAAATTCGAGAATTTTCCACCTTCTCCACCTGTTGGATCGGTTCACTATGGGCGGTATAGGGCGAGTGAAACCGGCGAAATAATAACTTTCCCTGAACTCGGAGCGCGCCGGCGACGGCCTCGAACTTTCCTCGCATCGAAACTGAGCTGGTTTCTGCGCGCCCTTCGATCCGGGGCAACAAACCTCGACCGGAAATCACCCCAGGGGGTCACGGGTCGCAAGGTCGCGGCCGCCGCTCCGCCACGTGCCGGCGCCGCCGTCTCTCTCTCGCTCCCGGATAGGGACGAATGCGCCGTTGCGCGGCCTTGACACCGCCGCCGGTGCACACAAACGTATACACGCGTACAAACTCCGATAAATACACACACACGAATGTAAGTAAACGCTAACAAAACCTTTATGTGTTGTTTTACGCGTTGTCGGGAGGATCGATGCAGCCCGGTGAGGGTGCAATCCTGGTTGTCCACAACCTGCCTTTAATTAGATATCCTGTTCATTCTATTGATCGATTTTATCAGGCGCACCAGGACTTTAACTGAATTCTAATCCTGTACACCGAAATTCCGCACCAAAATGTTGTTACCTACTACATGCGGCACTAATCTCACGCAGGAATCAACAATAGAGACACGACCAACTAGGTCGACTAGTCACTACCAAATCGTTGTTAATTAAAAATTAATAGTTTTCGAACTACAATCATCACGAATGAACAATTAAATTCGTGTTTCCGCATTAATTCGGATACACCTATCGAGCTAACAGGTTAATTTTCGATTCACCTCGTTTCCGATCGAAATGAGTAATTTCTTTTAACAATTAAACTAGAAAGTGTAAATAAATCATTTTTCGTTCGGGCGGGCATTGTCGAAGGGAATTTCGGCTTAATGGTTTTTTAATTCATCTCGACACCTATGTGCTGGAAATAGCGGCGTTTTGAAGTTGGGAGCAGTCGCTGATTAGCTCGACCGGCTGATCGATAATTAAACGTTATGTCGAAACGGCTCGTCGAAAACGCGGATTGTTCATTCGTAACAGTTACTTTTTAATTAACCCACCTCTACAGCGCACTCTGTTAATGACAGCTTCAGGATGTGTCTACGTTAAATTCGGTCGTGTATACTCGACCATTATTCGAACGAAAAAAATCTAATTAAATACACGGATTTCCATCTAGAGATGTGTCCCGCATTCTTCGGATGACGAAACGACGTCGAATAGAAAAACTACGGCGTTCTCGGGATTCTCGGCAATAAACAAAGCACGTCGTTGGGTCGATTAGAAACTGGGGAGCCATCGAAGGTTTCCCATATTTTCCGAATCGTTCTCCCGGGAGCAATCGTCGCATCGACTTTCCGGGTAATTAGATCGAAGTGTGAACGGGTATTTAACCGGCGGTTAACTCCAAATACAAGCTTCAATCAAACCGAATTTCTTGTATCGTAATTAGACGACTTACCTATACGAAAAGCAGGAAGCAAACGGGGAATCCACCTATTCTCTCCTACACTGTTATTACGTCTAATACAATGGTGAAACAAAGAGATGGGCAGATAGAGCCTCCGTGACTCGGCTACCCGACATCACGTATACGAGATACACATCGCTGGTCGCTTCTAAAATTAATAAAACAACCAATAATGATGGGACGAACTGCATTGATAATCCATTATTGAAGGTTTAATTGGTTTTCCGCCTCCTCATTACTTTAATCAGAACTAAAAACTCTTGTATTAGTTTTCGGTTTAACTAGATAACTATCGACGCTGCAAATAACCAATTACAGAATTATCGGCTTTTTTCTTTTTCGTTGGGAGTTTATCACAAAAACCCATACAATTTCCTATACCGGTGCTAAATTGCCCTGTCGTGAGGTTATTTATTGCTGATATATCGAAAAATGCGTATCGTTTATTTCGAGCGCGGTTTTTATTAAAATCGAGCTTAAAATAAGCACAAAAAGTCCGATCTGGACCGTGGCTTTGTCAAATTTTTGCCAACGTTGCACAATTATTAGTCAAAAACCTGCATGTTTTCGTTTGGCAATACATCAAAATGTAATATTAGATAAGGACAACTCGCTAAAATGATTAAACACGACGTAGACATCTACATAATTAAAACAGAACAAGGAATTCCTTAACACAAACTACACACTTTAAAATTATATTAATTTGTAAAAAATAAAAATTTAGGTAGGTACTTCAATTGTGCAAATTTTTTTATTCTACTCAATTCTACTGTCTATACTCTATTCTCTATTATTTGGGTGGGGAATTCCAGGGGTAACGTTTTACACATAAAGCTTTCTTACTTTACGAAAGCTCGTTATTTTAGTGCGCCCTATAATAATAATCATTGAGTGTTCGAAAAACTAATGGTTGATTACAATGTTTAATTCATCGGGGTCGCTATTAAAAATGAACCTTCAGGCGTTGCCTTCGTTAAATAATGATGGGGGTGGGTATGAGAGCTTGAAAGGGATGTTTGGGAATAAGTTAAAAGGACCCAAATCAACGCCAATCAATTTGGTCTCTTATTCGCTATACCTTGTATTTTTTATGTTTGAGAATTCCATATTTTTTTTATAAACACGATGGATTTTGTTTTATCTAGAAAAAATGGTGATTAAATTCACGCTATATAATTTTTTTAGAATTCTAGAAATCGTGAATTTTGAAAAAACAAGTAATAATAATTCTTTCGCGACGTTTACAACGCAATAAATCACTGCGCTAATTAATTTCCTTAATATTCATCTCGAAATTATGCTAATACAAATTACTCGTTTTTTAGTTATTAATTGACACTTGTTGCGGTAATTTCCGGACGTGCTGATAATAAATAAACGAAATTTATACGGTTTGCGTTAAAACCGGCGATGTTTTTCAAACCGATTTCCTTCGAAAGTCCGTAGGAAATTAGATAATTCGTGGCCGCATTTCATTCTAATTTCGATACGTTTCCTCCAAACCGTTAATTAGTAAGCGAATTAAAATGTTTTATTTTAATTTTCAGATCGTCTTTGAAGAAAGGTGGAGTCCTCAAGGTAAGCGGATTACTTCTTATATTTCGAATAGAAAACAACTATATAAAAATTTCCGAATAGGTATAATCGTTACTCAGTCTTAAAAAACTTAAAACAAACGACTAAATTCTTATTATTATTCGAGACCCACAACGAAGAACATAATAGAAGAAGTTAATAAAACAACTACTGTCTGGGTAATAAAATTATGTAAAAAAGATACCAAAATAATAGCTACTTAGGTAGAGAATGAAATTACACAGTTAATGGAATTACCGTAATCCTCGATTATTGGTTAATTTATTGAAATTCTACACTTCTAGCGTTTATTCAAATTTAGGTACATAAAGAGCGCGTTTTAGAGCCTCAACGAGCCTTCGCATTGGAGACGGGCGCGTTATTCGACAACGCTCGGTAGTTTCCCATAAATTTTTTCACATAAAAAGCGTTTACTTACCAATGCACACGTCGCCCGTACGTAATTTAAACACATACATATTTCCATTACATTATTATCGCCTCCTATAGAGCCCATTTTCGAACGGTGATTTTCTGGATTTCAACGGAACACACCGCTCTAAACGCATTACTCGCGTATACAATGCGATGCGGTCTCAAAATACACCAACGGGATAAAATAAAAAGAAGTAACGCCGCTTTCACAAAAGAATCCCATAGTCACTTCTAAATTTAAATCGTGACAAATACTTATTTTCGAAATAGATTGTACCTGTAGTCTTCCATCCACAAAAAAATGTCTAGTACCGAAAAAACCTAACGGTATGTAATCGAGTTTAAATGCATATTCTACTAAAATAAACACACTTATTGTTAGTATAGAAAAAATGCGCTACCTACTCTCGAAGAAATCGCAGTTCTGGTAATTAAAATATGTAATAGAACGAAATGAAGATGTAAAAGATCAATAAAAGTCGAGCTCATCCAATTATCGCCGGGCGATTTTATTCAAAAAGAGCAATAAACAAGGCGAGCCGGGGACGTTTCAATAACCAATAACGCGTTCTCCGCCTCTGCGATCCATTTGCCGGATTCACCTGCGCCTTTCGGCCCCGAAGATCGCCTCTCGAACGGGCTCCGGCCGTCGGAATGCATTTGCGGCGGGGGCGCCTCTAATGAGGAATGTCCACTCCGGTTTCGTTCGTCGCCGGACCGTTTTCGGTCGCTCCGCGTCGATTTTTTTCCGCGTGGGAGCCGCACAAAGCCTTCCGAACCTGAGTTACGGCCCTTCGAAGGCGATAAATTAGCCGAGGAGTCGATGGAGTGACGAGCCTTTTCGGACTGAGTTATTTTCTGCTCGTTTGGTTTATGTTCCGTGACTTCGGCAACTTCGAGTTTAAATAATGTCAAATTGAGAATAAAAATTCGATGTACTACATAGAGATTAAATTGTATAGGAAAGAAATTAGAAATGAGAGGAAATAACGCATAATAAAAATGATTCTTATCAATATTTTTTATAGACAAGCAGCCAATTAATTTCTCCCCAATTAGAAATACACCAATCTCCACTTAAAATCAAAAAACTACAGTTGAAGAATCCCACTGTTATCTCTAAACAACCCCTTTTAAACTTGTACTTTTTCGTCCCAATTTCCAAATCTCTTTTACGCCTAATTTACAACGAACCACCTGCTGGTCCTATCATCGTATATTCCGTGCATTAATTTTAATTTCGAAAAATCTTATCTAAATCCGCGCGCGTCTCCTGGGCCGCCTAATTTATGAGGGTGGGATTATCGAACAAACGACGACACGGTAGTAATTATTCCTCTTTTTTTTTGTCGAAAACGTTTAACTACTTGTACGCCGTCTACCTAATTTAATAGCGTCGGATCACCTGTTGCGAATGAGATATTACCGCGGTGACGTTTATACGAGGGCCTCTCGGGAATTTCCGAGGGGATTCTGTGGGCGCATTAATCACTTAAAGAAGCCGTTGGTGTCGAAGCGAAGGGACAAGGGGCGGATTATCGGGCGGTGGTAGGTAAAAGAAACTCGCTGGAAGCTCTGGAGACCTCAATTTTTGAGCTACTGGCGTTCGATGTGTAACATTGAGTAGCACAAAGCGGTTGTTGAGTCAAACCGGTTCGTGCAAAACACACCTTTGTGATTGTTTTTGGAGTTGAACGATTTTTTTTGTGTAATTTATTGAATTAAATACCTACGAGCAAGTGACTCATTTATTACAAAAAAAAATATTCCATCGCAATGCGACTTTTTAATTGGCGTGGAATGTTTTATTTATTTTTATTATTATTATCGTACGTTATTTTCGCTCGGCTCGATCGAGTCGACGGACAATGCGAATTCGTAGGTATGAAAACTGGAATGATGGAAAAAGCGGTAATTCAGGTATCGCGAATAACCCGTTTACCAAATTGCATATTGCATTTTTTACTCTCAAACTAATTCCGCCGCCCTCGTAAATTTTTTGTTTATAAAATGCAAAATCGATCGCAAATAAATTCACTAGCATTGCAATTACATTAAATAAACATGTTATTAATTTAACAATAAAAGTCAATAAACGGCGTCAATTAAGTTTTAATTAAAACGCGTACGCCGTGTTTATTATAATTTATTATAAAGCGCAACGAGCGTTTTATAAACCGTTTTATTTTTCGCGAATTGCTTCACTTCGGGATTCACTTTTTCCGCAGGATAGGCGTTAGATAAGCGAACCAGAAAACTGGGCGTAGGCAAATAGGAGTGTCGCACGTCGTTATAAAAATCGCGTGGAAGTTGCGAGTTAATTTTACTTTCATGGAGTGTCCGTTTGACGAGCGCACTTCGACGAAAAAACCGTCACACGTAGAAAGTTTCGCAAGACGTTTTCTTACAAATTGTAGGCGATTATTATAAATGAATAGGTTGCTGTGGAGGTAACAAAATGACACACCCCGTATAGAGTCACAAAATGATTTAAATTTGCGTACTGCGTTTTTTGTAGCCTTATAAAATTGGTAATAGGCAAGATATTTATTTCAAATTTTTAGCACAGTTAGCCTTGTGTCTTTTCTTGATATGTCCAAAATAGCATTACCCTCATTGCACTCCAAGGAGTTTAACCACCCCTTCGAATGAGGGTATAATTTAGGTGCCTCTTTGTATATTGCTTCATTCAAATGCATGGGTGGTTCGACCCTTTCGAGTTATGTGGGGATAATGCTCCTTTGGAGACCTCAAGATAAGATATGAGGCTAGGTCTGATGAAAATTTCACGTCTCTAGCTTGACTCTAACCAATTTTATAGCGCTCCAAATACTCACGAACACTTTGCCTTTTAGGGGGCTACCTTAATTCGACAATTTTATAAAGCTCTCAAAAAAGTGAGTACTAATTTTAAGGAACAGTTTAGTTTATGCAAGAATGGTGCAGGTATAAAGTATTTCGCCTATATTCGAGGTATAATAAATTATAATGATTTCCGAGTACGGGTGACGAATGGTCGATTTGAATTTCCCGGAAAGTGCAAGTACGTAATTAATGGCTCTAATTGGTCGCGAGGAACGTGGCGCATCTCGGCCAGAACTTAATTTCGCGTTTCGCCGTAAAAGTCTCGCCTCAAAAAAAAGAAACCGAACCGGACAATGCTGCAGGATCGAAACCTGGCGAGCGCACGTTTGCGTAAATGCACGGAGAAGAAGCGCCTAACGCGGGATCGCCCTATTTAGACGACGGGACGACGAAAGTAGTGATTTGAGAAGGGAGAAAAAAAACGGGCGACCAGCCACGAGTTCCAATAAAGCACACTCCGAGGTTTTTGCGAGCGGTGGCCGTCGATATAAGGGTATATCGGCGTTGCGCGCAATTAACAGTCGCGATAATTATACTGGAATCGGAAGAATTCCAGTCAGGTGGATGGTGTTCGCGGAACGGCCGCTAATTCTTCCCCATATGGGCACCGATCGGCCGGCGCAAATGGACAAACTGCCTTCCTTGCGGTGTTGAGCTTAGATACCGAATGCCTATTTTTATAATAAATCAAGGTGAATTATACCAATCCGAGAAGATAAAGATCGTTTCTCTGTAAACGTTACAAATTGTTCGGTCAGGTTTTTTTTTGTTCTCCTTTCCTGCTTCTGTGCGCTTTTGTGATAAACGAACGTCCTCGTTTGGTGGAGTCCATTTTCGTTCGAATTCGCCTAAACCACCTGAGAATGCCAGCAAAATAACCATACCCATATCTATCACCCCTCGTATACAAATCCTTCGAAATAATCGATACACCCTTGTATGTACGTAATTTTTTAGTCTAATTTCTCCACGTCTCAAACGACGTCAATTAGAGGAATATAAACCAAATGGGTTAAATAAATGCGACTTTCTCGGTTTAACAACGCTTATTAATCCTCGAACAATAAGTCAGACGGTCGAGAATTTACGGTGACAAATTGTAACAGTATCATTAAATCCATGTCGAAACACACAATGCTATATTTATTAGTTCTAATATGCAGTAAATAACTTTCCATTTGCATTTTATCCGTACCCATTCGTCGAACAAAATTAGAGAAAATAAAAAGTAACCTACCCTACATATTCTCTATTGCTCACGAATCTCTATAAAGCACTAAAAAGTATAAATGTAAATTATATAAAAGGTGCAGACTGTACTTGCTAATAGGAAGAATAATTGTTCATATAAAAAATTAAATGCCCCTATACCAGTATATGAAGGCTTTAATCGAGTCCTTCGTTCATTACCTTGAAGCAAATTGCACGAAACCAACCTACGAGATTATAATAATTAAAAAAAAGCCTCTTTTTCTCCATCCGTTTATAACAACATCCGCCAAATCGTTCACCGTTCGATAAGCCAGTCGTTTACAATAAAAAGCATAATAATGATAATAACGCCTCATTTTCGTCTGGTGCGCCCGAACTGCAACTTACGCAAAACGAAAGTATTATCGGGCAATTTAAATTGTTTTTTCGCAACTTTCGTCGTAATTGGACGTCGACACGCCATAAATCCGTCGGGTTCTATACCAGACATT